GACCCCGAAAGAAAGAGGAAGACACCATTAAATACAGAGAAAAGCAGAAAAACACAGACGCTAAGAAATGGGAGGCAGGGGGAATCGAGAGAGAGAGAATGGAAAGAAACAGAGAAATGACCAGAGAAAGACAGATGAGCAATGACAGTGGGACTTCTGAGGACTGAGGCTCCTCTCCCTCAATCCCCACCCCTTCTTTTTTTTTTTTTCTTTTTTTTTTTTTTGACAGAGTCTTGCTCTGTTGCCCAGGCTGGAGTGCAGTGGCACGATCTTAGCTCACTGCAACCTCCACCTTCGGGGCTCAAGTGATTCTCGTGCCTCAGCCTCCTGAGTAGCTGGAATTACAGGCACACACCACTGTGCCTGGCTAATTTTTGTATTTTTAGTAGAGATGGGGTTTCACCATGTTGGCCAGGCTTGTCTTGAACTACTGGCCTCAAGTGATCTGCCCATCTCAGCCTCCCAAAGTGCTGGGATTACATGCGTGAACCACCGCACTCGGCCCTCCCACCCTCTCACTGAAATTCTCCCCTTTGGGGTGGATAGCAACCTCTGGCATGTACCCTCCCAACCTGGGACCCGACCTAATACCCTAACATCCTGCTGGCAGTGGCTGTTCTCGCTGGGCAGGCGTCCCAAAGCACATTGAGCCAGATTCAGGCAGAGTGGAACTGGCCCCTCAGCCATCAGTGGAGGTGGCCTGGGAGGCCCTACCTTGAACGGGGGCTCCCCAAGGCGATGCAGAAACTGGGACATGCTCTGATGAGCATGGGGCTGGCTGGAGTGAGGCTTGTAGGTGGTCCCCATGTGCGGATTAAGATGTCAGCTCTTTAATCCCAATGCTGTTCCCATCACAGGCTGACCAGGGTCGGTCCCAGGGCCCAGCCAGAGACACAGAGGTGGGAGAAGAGAGGGAGAAATAGACTCAGAGGTCCTGAGAAAGACAGGCAGAGAGAGATGATGGAGAAAAACACGTGGAGACACTGAAAAGAGATGGAGAGGAAGAGACAGCTATGCAGGGATGGCAGAGAGATCCTGGAAAACAGAGACCGGGAGGAGAAAGAGAGCCACTGTGAAAAGGGGAAGACAGCGATGTCCAGAGAGAGGAAAGACAAAGACCCTAAAACAAAGATAAATAAAGAGAACAGAAATGAAGAGAGATAGAGAGACCTGAGAGAAAAAGAAAAAGACCTGAGAGAAAAAGAAAAAGAAAAAGAGAGAAACAAAGAAATCCAGTCTAATTACAAAGAGATAGAAACGCCAAGGCAGGAGGATCACTTGAGCCCAGGAGTTTGAGACCAGCCTGGGCAACACAATGAGACCTGGTCTCTACAAATATTTTAAAAATTTGGTAGGCATGGTGGCACGCACCTCTAGTCCCAGCTACTTGGGAGGCTCAGGTGGGAGGATCACTTGAGCCCAGGCGGTCGAGGCTGCAGTGAGCTGTGATGGTGCCACTGTACTCCAGCCTGGGCAACAGAACAAGACAGACGGAAGGGGAGAGAAGAAGAAAGGGAAAAGAGGGGAGGGGAGGGAAGAAAGAGGCTGGGCACAGTGGCTCACGCCTGTGATCCTAGCACTTTAGGAGGCTGAGGCAGGAGGACCTGCTTGAGACCGAGAGTTGAAGACCAACCTGGCCAACCTAACAAGACCCTGTCTCTATAAAAAAACAAAGAGAAGTAGGGAGGAAGAAAAATTGGGCATTCTTTCAACAAATATGTACTAAGCGCCTACTGCTGTACTGAGCACTGTTTTAAGCGCTGGGATACAGAAGCGAACCAGACAAAATCCCTGCTCTAGAAGAGCTGACGTTCCGGAGGACAGCCCACCCGAGCAAAACAGAGGAAGCGTCAGGAGCTGGGGAGAGAGCCAGAGGCCACGATAAAGAGGATCCATTAAAGCCTGTCACACAGGGTGAGGTAGGGCTGGGGGAGGATGCTGCTTACCGTGCCCCGCCACTCCCCACTCTCCGTGGAGTCAGCAGCTCTGAGCAGGGGCCCTGCCCCACAACCCCTGTCAGTCACCAGGTTCCAGAAAGGCTGACAGGTAGGAAGACCCAGGACAGGACAGGGCAGGACAGAATATGGAGGTACAAGGGGGTCAACATGCAGAAAGGCACCCTGAAGAGATAAGGCGAGGCACAGAAGTGCCAGGATGAGATAAAGGGAAGCACAGACTGGGGGAGATAGAGAGAGGAAGACACGGACATACTGAAAAGAGAGACAGAAAACAGACACAAACAGGCAGAGACTGAGAGAACAGAGAGACAGGAAGAGACAGAAAGAGGAGAGAGAGATGAACACAGAAACACAGAGACCGAGAGTGAGGGAGGCTGGGTGTGCTGGTTCACGCCCATACTCCCAGCACTTTGGGAGACCAAGGCAGAAAGATTGCTTGAGCCCAGGAGTTGGAGACCAGCCTGGGCAACACAATGAGATCCTGTCTCCCCAAAAAATACAAAAATTGGCCGGACGTGGTGGTGTGCACCTGTGGTCCCAGCTACTCGGGAGGCTGAGGTGGGAGGCTTGTTTGAGCCCAAGAGGTAGAGGCTACAGTGAGCCATGACTGTATCATGGACTCCAGCCTGGGGGACAGAAGCCAGACTCTGAGAGAGAAAGAAAAGAGGGAAGGGAAAGGGAGGGGAGGGGGGAGGGGGAGAGCAAGTGAGACTGAGATGAAACAAAGATACACAAGAGAGACCCTCACAGAGACAATGCCAGTCCCAGGCTCTGCACAGTCCCCCCACCTCCCCAGCTCTGGGCCCTGTGCCAGGCACTCGGAGGAAGGCTGGATTTGGCCAAGCAGGGGCAGGCAGGAGGGTGGACCACATTCCTGAACAGTCTGTTCCAAATACAGCCCCAACCTCACCGCTCCCACCACCCCAGCCCTGCCCCATCCAGGCCTGAGTCTGCCCCCTCTTGGGGAACAAGCGTAGCACACAGGGTCCCAAGAACAATGGAAGTGACAAGGGCTCAGGTGTGAGCTCCTAGGAATCACAGGCACAGAGCACAGGAGTGTCAGGGGTGTCTTTAGAAGTCTATTTGAGCCAGGCGCAGTGGCTCATGCTTGTAATCCCGGCACTTCAGGAGACCAAGGCAGGCGGATCACCTGAGGTCAGGAGTTTGAGATCTGCCTGGCCAACATGGTGAAACTCCGTCTCTACTAAAAATACAAAAATTAGCCGGGCCTGGTGGTGCATGTCTGTAATCCCAAGTACTTGGGAGGCTGAGGCAGGAGAATCTTGAACCTGGGAGGTGGAGGTTGCAGTGAGTCAAGATCGCACCGCTGCACTCCAGCTTGGGCAACAAGAGTGAAACTCTAAGGAAAAAAAAAAAAATAGAAGAAGAAGAAGTGTATTTGAGAGTCAGTGTGTATTTAGGAATCAGAGGTCCAGGGTACAGCATTCAGGGGGCCCAGAGGTGGCCCGGAGATTGAGGAATACACACCTGCAGGCCAAGTAAATTGGACTCAAAGGTGCTAGGGACTCAGGAGGCTGCACCTGTTGGCCAGGTGTGTTGACATGAAAATGCTGGTGCACGAAAGTTGCTAAGTAGGGCAGGCTGAGGCAGGCACACAATGTACCCTAGAACATAAAGTATAAAAAAAAAAGAAAGAGAGAGAAAGAAAGAAGGAAAGAAAGAGAAAAAGAAAGAGAAAGAAAGAAAGAAAAGAAAGAAAAGAGAAAGAAAAGAAAGAAAGAGAGAGAAAGAAAGAAAGAAGGAGAGAAAGAAAGAAAGAGAAAGAAAAGAAAGAAAGAAAAGCAAGCTGCAAGCCAGGGCACAGTTCCACTAGGGCTGGGGGCAGGGTGGAGACGTCGGGTTGGGGAATCCACGGAAGGAGCAACCGGGAGACACCCACTCCTCCCACATCGGGTCTCCGCCCCTGCTCCACCCCTAAGACCCCTTGGAAATCAAATAGAGGTGAAGGGGTGCAGGCGTGGAGAATTGTAGCCATGATGATAGCCGGTATCGCAGCGCTGCTGTTGTGGCTTCTGGTGCTGGCGCGGTGGGGGTAGGGTGGGTGCCGAGCTCAGATGCGGGGGGTCCCTACCTCCCCGGCCCAGGCCACTCCCATTGCTGGGGAACTTGCAGCTGCAGTCCAGAGGCATGGACCACGCGCTCCATTCCCTACAGGAATGGGGGAACGGAATTTTGGATCCGTGGAGGTGGCGCTGGGGACTAGAACTCCTCCTGAATGAAGACAGCTAAGGGCTTGTACTCTAAGACCCTGAGGAAGGATAGGAAGGATGAGTGCTCAGGACTCCTGAGTTCTAGGAAAGGAGACTAGGGAGTGGAGAGCTTGGGGTCGGGACACTGGGTAGTAAGGAAGGAGCCCAGAGCAGGAAATCAGGTTGTGGAAAGAGGGGAGCAGAGGGTCTGTTCCCCTGGTTCAAGGTGGGGAGGCTGAGTACTGAGGGCCCAGGAGCCCGACTCCGAGGGTGCAGGAGGCTGGGAAGCTGGACTTCTAGGTCCCAAGGGAAGAAGGAAGTGGGGGCCTGGACTCCTGGATCTCAGGGAGGAAGGAGCTGGGGATCTGAACTCCTGGGCCTGAAGAATGAGGGCCCGAGACGAGGACTCCTGAGTCTGAAGGAAGAGAGGGCTGGGGGCGAGGGCTCCGATGAGAAACCCGATGGGCACCAGCTGAGCACCAGCTCCCTGTAGCTCTCCGGCCGCTGGGGCCCGGTGTTCACAGTGCAGCTGGGCCCGCGCCCTGCCGTGGTGCTGTGCGGCTACGCAGCGCTGCGGGACGCGTTAGTGCTACAGGCGGATGCCTTCTCCGGCCGCGGGTCCATGGCAGTCTTCGAACGCTTCACACGCGGACACGGTGAGGCCCGGGCGCTGGCCGTGCCGGCCTGTACGCCTCAGGCTGGGCCCGTAAACGGTAGAGGCGGGCAAATGGGGGCGGGGCCTAATAGAGACTCCAGCTAATGAGGTGCAAACGACCGAGAGAGGGCGCGGCGGCGCTAAAGCGTAAGGTTCGAATCGAGGTTCATCCTGCAGCCAAGAGGAGAGAAGAGCCTAAGAGTCAAAGCCCGAGAGCCAGCCTAGGTCAGCAATCGAGCCCAGCAAACGCGGGGCCCATGTGTGGATAGGGCACTTAGAGGTCCGGTAAAGAAGCAAAGCGCAGGAAGTCGGCCGCAGGAGTCGGAGGCCCTGAATGGGATGTAGCCAGTGACCTGGCGCTTCCTGGATGGGGCGTGGCCGACTCCCGGGCCCGCCTCCTTTCCTGTCCCTACCACAGGAATCTTCCCTAACGGGCCGCGCTGGTGGACACTGCGCAATTTTGCAGTTGGAGCGCTGAAGGAGTTGGGGTTAGGTACACGGACCATCCAGGCGCATGTCCTGAAGGAGGCGGCTTGTCTGCTAGACGAAATGCAAGCCACCATTGGTGCGGCCTGGCTGGGAGGGCAGAAGGGCCAGGTGTGGGAGTGGCCCTTGGACTGCCAAGATGGGGCCACGGGAAGGTATTTGGGTGGAAGGAAGCCAGTAAACCCATGGGGCTGGCTGGGGGCAGGACCATTCGTTATGACCACTGTCCTGTTCCTACCCCCAGGAGCCCCGTTTGATCCCGTGCCACTACTGGATAATGCTGTATCCAATGTTATCTGTTCTTGTCTTCGGGAACCGCTATGGCTACGGGGACCCGGAGTTCCTGAGGCTCCTGAACCTCTTCAGTGACAACTTCCGCATCATGAGCTCCAGATGGGGCGAGGTGAGAGGGCCGGCCACAGTCTCTCCCTTGTGCGTCCAGCCTTATGCCAAATCCCGAGTACACAGACCTACCTACAGTGGATCATTAGAATGGGACAGTTCGAGTTAGGTTCTAGAGTTCTAGAACCTCCAATATCAATGTCCTGGTCCAATCTCCCTGAAGGGAAACTAAGACCTAATGGCCTTGTCCAGGGCCCCTGTTGAGACCCTGTCTCTCCAGATGTACATTTGCCCGTCCCTCATGGACTGGCTCCCAAGCCGGCACCGCCGAATCTTCCGAAACTTTTCGGAGCTGTGGGTCTTCATCTCTGAGCAAATCCAACAACACTGGCAGATGCGGCAGCCAGCGGAGCCCCGCGATTTCATCAACTGCTTGACCAGATGGGTAAGACGTGGTTCCCAGCTCCCTAAACTCTACCTTTGCCTCCCACCAACAGGTGCCTGGCACGCGGCAGCGCGTCTCCTCTGCCCACAGTAACAGCAGGACCCAGAGAGCCACTTCCAGGAGGAGACATCGGTAATGATGACGCACCTTTTTTTTGGTGGTACCGAAACGAGCACCACCCTGTGCTATGGACTCCTCGTTCTGCTTAAGTACCCAGAGGTGGCAGGTCTGCGAGCTGGAGAGACCCAGAATGGGAGGCTGCGGTCTGGGGATGGCTGGAGGGTCCTGGAAGTGCGCAGCTCACAGCCTACCCCGGCCCCAGCCAAGGTGCAGGAGCTGGACCCTGTAGTAGGGTGGAGGCGCGCCCCAAGCCCAGACGACCCCGAGCGACTGCCCTACACCAACGCAGTGCTGCTCCAGATCCAGCGCTTCATCAGCGTGGTGCCGCTGGGGCTACCGCGCTCACCCTCAACACCCACTTGCACAGCCACTGTCTGCCCAAAGGTGCCCACTGAGTTTGGGAATCCTGTGCGGGGCCCGGGTGCATGAGGTGTATTCCGAGATCAGCCAGAATCGGTGGGTGTGCGCTGTGCAAACTGAAGCACAATCAGTTACTCCTGGAGTAGGATAGCAGGCCTGCCTTCCCTTCGGTTTTTGTTTTTTGATTTTTTAAATTTTTTTTGAGACAGTCTCGCCTTATCGCTCAGGCTGGGGTGCAATGGCATGATCTCGACTCACTGCAACCTCCGCCTCCTGGGTTCAAGCAATTCTCCTGCTTCAGCCTCCTAAATACCTGGTATTACAGGCACTTGCCACCACACCTGGCTAATTTTTGTGTGTTTAGCAGAGACAGGTTTCGCTGTGTTGGCCAGGCTGGTCTCGAACTTCTTGACCTCAAGTGATCCATGCTCCTCGGCCTCCCAGAGTGCTGGGATTACAGGCGTGAGCTACCTGCCTGGCCTATTCCCTTGGGCTTTTAAAAAGGGCCTTGGATGGAGGAGGTGCACATGCTCACCAAGCCCACAGGTAAACCTAGTTGCATGTACCCCCAGGGCACCTTTGTGATTCCCCTGCTTGTGACTGCACACTGACCCCACTCAATTCAAAGACCCAGAATGCTTCAACCCTACCAACTTCCTGGACAACGCTACCAACTTCCTGGACAAGGGCAAGTTCCAGGGCAATGACCCTTTCATGCCCTTTGCCTCAGGTGCGGGCAGGGGAGGAAGGGGACCAGCCTGGACTGGCTCTGGGGTGCATGGTGCTCACTATGCACCCATGTACCTGGGAAAGCAGATGTGCCTGGGCGCAGGCCTGGCCCACTTGGAGATCTTCCTATTCCTTACAGCCACCTTACAGAGGTTCCGCCTGCTCCCTGTGGTAAACCCTGGCACCATCAACCTGACCTGCAGTTCACTGGCCTGGGCAGTGTCCCCCCAGCCTTCCAGCTCCAGTAGTGGCCTGCTGAGGTCAGGCTCCGCTGTAGTGGGCTCACTGGCCCTCAAACCTCCACACCCTCCTTGGTCAATAAAGGCCCTAAATTGCAGATGGAGTCAGATGTGTGCAGCTCTGAGGTAAACTTTTATTTCTTGGCTGACAGGACTTCCACACCCATGCTCCTCCTGGCACCTTTTACTCTGCTCACGCAGTGGCAGCCCAGTCCCAAAAGGTGCCTGCCATGGCCAAAGGGGTTGGGGAGTCACTTCACATTCCAGGCTGGAGGAGTGAGAAGGTTTGGGGGTACTCCTCCCACCCCACTGCCAGCAAGAGGCCATGACTCACCTCAACCCCAAGTCCTGCATCCTGGTGGGAAGTGACAATGCCTCCTCCCAGCTCTCCACACCTAATGGGGTCATGACCAGACAGGGTAGGACCCAGGCCCCAGCTTCAGTTGGTAACGGTTGCCTCCAAGGCTGCCCCCTGTCCAGGTCACAACCCCAGCCCCCATCATGGGGCAGCAAAGGTCTCTTCTCCTCCTTGGTCCTCAGCAACAGACAGAGCCCTCCACGCCAGGCAGGACAGAGGCAAAGTCAGAAGCAGCAGCGGTGGCAGGGAAGGAGCAGCCAATACAGGCCCAGGGCTCTCCTGAAGTCAGGGCAAGCTGTCTGCCATGCGGCTCTGGGACTGGCCACTAGGTGGGCGTAGGCGGCTGTGATACAGGTACTTGGACACCTTTCTGTCCTGATGCTGGGGGTGAGAGGGGACAGGAGACAGTGAGTCATCAGGAGAGGGACAAAAAAGCCAAGGGAAACCTGGGGAAATGGGGAGAGCACCAGGAAGAAATGGGGCTCCTGTTGGGGTACCAGAAGAGTGGACTGTCTAAGGAAGGTGGGCAGAGATGAAGAAAAATGAGTGGTGAGATTTAACAAGAGGCTGATGAGGGGGATGGGGTGGCGTGAGGCCCAACAGGGCCCACGGAATAGGAAGGACTGGAGGGAGGGAAGCAGGTACCTAGCTGATACTTGTCTTTGGCTGCTGCCCGCTCCTTGGCATCAAAATACCAGACAGTGATGGCGTACCTGGGGACCAGGATGGTTGGACATCAGTTTTCTGCAATTCCAGCTACCATATCCACACATGCTAGGAGGCCATCCTTTTCAGCCACCCGGTTCTGCTCCCACCTAGGCCCCCTCTCAGTACTTGGTCGCTCCCTAGTCACTCTGAGGCTCTGACAGGACATTGTCACAGGGGGAGCACCTGGGTGCATCCCCAGAAGTACAGGTCATACCTGGTGGCATAGGCTGGCTTCACCTCGTGGGGGTTCCGCCGGTCAGACCAGAAAATAAGCAACCGGTCAAAGAGTGGTTCGATGTTGGCTACCACCGGCCGGCCCTCAGGGAAGATCTGCAGCAGGCCACCATGCACCTGGGGGCAGGCCAGAGGATGAGGTTGGCCAGTCCAGCCAGGAGCCGCTGCCTCCCACGGCACCCGGGAGCCCACTAGGGGGCGCAGCGTCCGCCCGCATCACTCCCTCCCACCCCTCGGGCTCTCAAAATGAATGACAACCCAGAGTCTGCATCACCATGGAGATGGGCAGGAAGCTACTAAAGACAGGAAAAGGGGGAAAGTGTTCATTACAAGGCCGGGTGGGGCTGGGCAGACAGCACCATTCCCGGAAAGAGGGGAGTTCCCATCACACAGCCAGATAGAGAGGAGGAGGTGCCATTTCCCAGGAAGAGCCAGCAGATTGCACCCCTGGCTGTGTGCTGAGAAGAGGAACAGGAGAATGCCAGAATCTGGGCTCAGAGTGGAAAATGGAGTGGATGCACGCCCCATCTACCCCGGCTCCAGCCCCACCTGCCCCGGCCCCAGCCCTAGCCCTGACCCCAGCCCTAGCCCTGACCCCAGCCCCACCCTCGCCCTCACCCCTACCTTAACGTCCCAGTTCTGATTCAGGTAATAGATACAGGTGATGCAGCGCCCATCGCCGTGGGGATTGTCAACGTGCCTTACGTACCCGAGCCCGTTGCCTGGGTAACACGCCACCATGGCCTGGCAGGAATGGAGGGAGGTAGGTTTACTGGGGCTAGGCAGGCACATCTTAGAGAAGCAGCCATGAATTACCTATTTTCCCACCCCTTCTTGCCCTGTATTCCTTGGGTCAAGGGTTCCAAGTGCCTGCCCCAAAAGAATTTCTCCATTTTCAGCCAAAATCCCATCTCCAAGTCCATCAGAAACCTCAGCTCCTGGGCCTCAAGAGCCCACTCCCTCCCACACACATACCTGGGGCCTGGCACCCAGCTAGGGCTCAATTAGTAACAGACGGTTTGATTTGTTTCAAGATATCCCAAACCCTACCTCAGCTATTTCAGAATAATATCAATTTAAACATTTTCAGGTGTGCAAGGAGGTGGCCTCACAGCCCTAGACCAGGAATTCTTACCCTTGGCTGTGGAGTGGAACCCCCTGGGGAGCTCTGAGACTCTGATGTACCTGGTCTAAGGAAGGGCCTGAAATTGGTAAAGGTTCCCAGGTAATTCTACCATGCAGCAATGTGAGAACTGCTACCCTGGATTACAAAGAATCCCCACTAAATTATCTGTCCCATAGACATCCGAACAGGAGCCAAACCTACAGTCTGAATAGAAAGTGAGACCTAATTCCAACGCCAAGGATAATTTGCTGGATAACCCTAGCCAGATCCATCACCTGAATGGGCCTCAACTGCCTGATGTGTACAACAGGGGTAATAAACACCTGCTCTGTTTACAGCAGTAGCAATTCACCCCTCTGAGAACATAACTTGGGAGGTTCTGGACCCGCATCCCCCGGAGACCTAACAGGGCTTGGTTTCTCTGTCTACAGGGTTCTTTCCTCTGCCTGACAGTTGCCACTCCCCTGATCCAGCCCTACCATGCTGCAGCCAGGGCCCCGGGATGTTTGTCATCAGGGAGCTGGCAGAAAGGTGGCTGAGAGGTAAAGGAAATGGCCCAGCCACCTCTGCAGACCCAATTCCCTGGTTCAAGTCTCAGTGCTGCCACAGGAGCTGTGGCATCAGGCAGGTGACTTCCTGGTCTCAGGTTCCTCATCCATGGATCCAATGGAGCTGACGGCTATTTCACAGGTTGTTGTGGAACAAGTGAACAAGATAACAAGTGTCTGGGAAGACAGCCAGCACAGTGCCTGCCACATGGAGCACAGGCTGAAATGCCATTTAAAAATTTAAAAAGGTCCCTGTCTCACCCTCTGCCCAAAGTCACTGCAGTAGCAGACAAAAAGGGGAGGACTGGCACAAAGGCCCTTCAGCTTCTCCCCAGCCTGGACCATCTGTCTGGACCTCTCCGCCCTGGTACAACTCTGCTGGCGTCTGCTCCCCACGAATGCTCAGCTACACCTATGGGCCCAGCCCAGCAAGACAGCCCCAAGATAAACATTCATGATCAAACATCAGTGGCTGCTGCCACAACAGGATGCTTGCCAAGCACGCACGCCACGGCAGGCTGGGCTGCTTCAATCCTCACTCTCCCCAGGACGCCTCCCAACACATTATCCCAGGGCTCACCCTCTGTGGTGGATGTTAAGCTGCTCTGCATTAACCATGTGCACCCTCGCCCACCAGACCTTGCCCTGGAAAGAGAGGGCTGCCACCATCTACGGCCACCTAGCAGTGGGAAGCTGACAACCTTCTCTCTGGCAGCACCAGAGTACAATTAGTGAGAAGGCCCCCAGGAAAAACCCTACACCTCAAGATTCAGGAAGGGGCACCTTCTTTGCACTGCTCACTCCCTGTAGATGGGTCGACACTCTGAGCAACCACCTCACTGGGAGAAGAATTTGGCCATGGCCCAGGAGGCTTGGAATCAGTGAGTTACTGACTAGAGATGGGCAAGGCCTCCCCAGTTAGGAATCCAATCAGAGATTACACTGATGATGCACGTGGATGGGTGACAGGGAAGGGGTCCAGTGCTGCACCCTCTTCCACCACAATCCTTCCCCACACAGCAGCCAGAGTCCCTCTTCTCCAGGTCTTCGCTGCATCCCAAGAAAATACAAATTCCCAGCCACAGCCTCAAAGGCCCCCAACCTCATGTGCCACTCCCATCACTCCGCTCCATGCCTCAACAGGCTGAGCTCATCACCACCACAAGGCCTCTGCACTGGCCTGGGACACTCTCCCTTCTGACCCTCCTTGTTATTCAGGATTCAGAGGCCAAGGGTCACCTTGAGTACTCCAGCTGATTGTCCATTCCACTCCTAGCAACATAGCATCAGCACTGGCACCTGTTTACCTAGTACTGGCCTGGAAGGCAGCCACAGCGAAGCCCCTGGGGCCACGTCAGTCTCCCCAGTGCCCAATGCAGTACCTGCTGACTGAGCGCACTGCTCTGGGCCTCCTCTGCACCCCAGCCCTGCTGTGTTCCCTCCTGTCCTGTACATTCTCACACAGCACCTCCCACCAAGCACACAGGACACATGCAGAAACAGGAACCTGCTCTTTAGGGCCCCACCCTTCCCCCACATACACACACCTTGGGGGTGAAAGCATCCTCTGGCCCCAAGGAAAGTATCTACTTCCTGCCCTCACAGGGGAAGGCCTCAGGAAACTTGCTCTCAACCCCTCCCACCTAGGGGAGGGGCAGGTGGGACCAGGGCCAGGAGACTAAAGACTTAAAGGCTATTGGTGACAATGGGCCTGCCAAGAGACCCAACACCACTACACACACCCCCCAGTCAGAAGCCTGTGACTGTCCCACCTCCAAGCTGCTCTTCAAGGAGTAAACCAAGCAAGGTGGACCCTCCCTGGGGTCCCCTCTGGTGGCCCTTGCTGCCAGTGGGAGTCAACTCTCTCCCAATTACAGGTCAACCGAGCACCTGTCCCCAGTCAAGGAGTTGGGGGAAGGTAGAACACAGGAGCTCCACTAAGAATGGACTAAGAAGCAGATTCCCACTGGCTCTAGCCCGCCACACTGGTGATCCATGTCCCCACGGCAACTGCTGTGGCCCACCTCAGCACCCCACAGCCTTACGCTGGAGTCCAGCAGAGTCCAGATGGCGCCCTCTAAAAGCAGAAAAGCCTGGAGTTGTTTCTCACTGGGGAGGGGACGGCTCCTCCCCTATGTTCCCAGTCCAGCCTGGCCTATCCTTACCTCCCTAGGACAATTAGGGTCACCTAAGGCTAAAAAGGTCCAAACACTTCCCCTCTCCAATCCTCGCCGGGGCCCTGTCCCCAACCCCCTGGAAGGTGGGCACCAGAGGCACCAAAAGACAACAGATCCGGCCGGGCACAGTGGCTCACATCTGTAATCCCAGTGCTTTAGGAGGCCAAGGTGGGTGGATCACGAGGTCAGGAGATAAGAGACCATCCTGGCTACCACGGTGAAACCCTGTCTCTACTAAAAATACAAAAAATTAGCCGGACGAGGTGGCAGGCGCCTGTAGTCCCAGCTACTCGGGAGGCTGAGGCAGGAGAATGGCATGAACCTGGGAGGTGGAGCTTGCAGTGAGCCGAGATCTCGCCACTGCACTCCAGCCTGGACAACAGAGCAAGACTCTGTCTTCAAAAAAAAAAGACAAGAGATCTTCTCCTTCTACTCTCCCCACCCCAAACTGCCACAGACTCGCTGGAGATGTAACCTGGTTTTCCTGTTCCATGGATCAGCAAATTGAGGCTCAGAGCAGTGTCCCATCTGGGCCACTCAGCCCTTCTGGTCTCCCCCTGACGAGGACAACAGCCAACCTGGTGTGAAGATGCTGAGCCAGGGAGGCCACTGATCCTGCCCGCACGGAGCCAAGCCCAGGGAGGGGCCGGCTCTGGCTCAGCTATCAAGTAACGGGAGGGAGAGGGAAGTAGAACAAGTTCCAGCTGGGGTGGGGAGGAAACAGGCCTTGGCCCCGGGGGAGCCCTGGTCCCTGAGCCAGCTCCAGCCTGAGAGGAAAGCCACACAGAGGCAGAACCCAAGATGGGATCTGCAGGAGGAGGCAGGGGACATCAGGAGCTCAGCCTCATGCCTGCAGGGCACAACACAGCCCGTGCCATCGGCCAGCCAGGCATCGCTGTGTTGAGCAGTGGGCACTCCCCACAGGGCCCTGTCCAAAGGACACCAAGCCCTGTACTCAAGGCCAGGCCCCCACATCACCTATGAAGACAGTGATCCTGTCAGCACGCCGGAAGGGCCCTGTGGACCACTGTCCTGTGCTGGGCTCCTGACCCCAGGTTCCTGAACAGGCAGCTGGAGGCCATGAGGCCTTGACAACTGCCTGGAAACTCCAAGCAAATGAGTATTTGTCTTAAGAGAGGATCTGTGGCCTCTGACAGATTCTCAAAAAGACCCAGACTCCAAAATACAATTAAGAACTACTGTTCTAAAGCAAAAAGAAAAAGAGACTAAGAACAAACACATAAAGGCAGAGAGAAGAGACAAACATGGGAAGGGAGGAAGTGACACACAGGACAGGGGGAATGGATGGCAGGGACTGGGACGGGAAAGCGTGGGAGACATGGGGATGAGCGCTCCACCTGAGTCAGCAGACAGCGACCCAGTACCAGCCCCAGGAGACTGTCCTCGATGCAGATGACACAGTAGGGACCCAGGGCACAATGCAGTCCAGAGCCAGGCACTGGGCCTAGCGGGCAGCACCCCTTTCCTTCCCTCAGCCCAGGGCTCACTCATCACACCCTACCCGTTCTGCTTCTCCTGCCTGGGAGACAGATGAATGAACTAGAGACATGGGCCAGCAAACAGGGATGGACAACAGGAGCACAGGGAAGGATGCGGACAGGGACAGACAGCAACAGAGGACGGACAAGTGAACTGTGTGCCTGTCTACATCACTGCGCTTGGTCTGGGGCCCCAGACAGACACCAGGAGGCCATGAACCCCACCAAGGCCCATGCTGTGAATGTCAGCAACTCTTATGAGTTTCTTCAAGAGGGTTCCTGGCAAAGTCAAGAACCACTGTGGCTCCAGGACAAACTCCTAGCTTACAGGTGCACACATTAAGGCCCACAGGGAGGACAAGGCCCCCCCGAGTCCCCACAAGTGAGCAACCCACTCCACTGAACTGCCTAAACCCAGAAGCCCCCCAGAAGCCTGTCTCCAAACCCACTGTGCTCAGAGCACTGAATGCCAAACCAGGATGTTGCAAAGCCCCGCCAGAGAGGCCCCCACCTAGCCTTACCTTGGTGCGCCCGTTGATGACATAGCTGCCCAGCCGCCCTGCGCAGTGGCGGATGACGGTGTCCACGTGGGCCATGAGGGCACCAATGCTTCGGCAGCCTGCTTCATGGCCTTCCACCCAGGCAATCTGGTCCCCACGGATGCTGCGCGGCGGGATCGCCCGCTGGCTCACTAGCTGCCCGTCTCGCAGGCGCCCACCCCGTTTGAGGGCCTCCACCTCGGCCAGCACGCGGCCGCCCAGCGCTGCCCCCAGGAAGCTGTCCTTGACGCAGATGCCGTAGTACCGCATGCAGGGCACGATATAGTCCAGGGCCAGGCGCTCAGGTGCAGAGGGCAGCGCCTCCTCCATCAGCCCAGCACTGGCCTCACCACTGCCACTGCTGCAGCCGCAGCTCATGCCACCCTCCCGCTCTGCCTCCTGGTTCTCTTGCCTGGCCCAGGGCCGCTTGCTGGGTGAAGGGGCATCCCCACCATCCTCGGCCCATTTCCGTTTGGGGGCCTCAGGCCGGGCGCCCTGGGCTGCCAGTCGCTGGCACCCCTTGGTGACCAGCGCTGCAGCGCCTTCACTCTGCAGTGGCCGCAGCTCACCACCATCCTGCCCGCCAAAACCGTCCCGAAGGGGGCTGGCAGTGGTAGAGGTGGCTGTAGCTCTGAGAGTCCCACTCCCCGCTGAGGCCTCACTAGGCACTCCTGGACAGTGGTAGGAGGGGAGCAGGGGACAGGGCAGGTAACTCTCTACCCCCATCCTGGCCCGGCCAGGCTCCAAGGACTCTGACGAAGACCCTGGTAACTGAGGGAGAGCCTGACTTAGGGGCTGCGACTGGCACGGGCTGTCCATGGCAGCAGTGTCTTCATCCCCCGGGCATGGAGGGCACCGCCCGGGCCCATGGTGCCACCCTCCTCCGCCTCCTCCTCTGCCTCTTGATGCAGCTGGGGGCCACCAGGCCTGGCGTGGGGCAGGGTGAGGCAGGGCAGACAGCAAGAGCTCTTCTGGTGCCCTGGGGGTTGCTTGCTGGTCCCCAGGTCCTCTGCCGTCCCTAAGGGCTTGGGAAGGGACCCTTCAGGGTGGCTAGAAAAAGGAAAAAGAAAAGGGATGTGAGAGGATCTAGAGACAGGCAGGCTAGGGAAAGAGGGGATGGCATGGGCAGGAGTGGGGAAGACGACCAGGACAGACTTGACTATAGAGGTCCCCCAAAACCTGGGGCCAAGTCGGGGAGAAGACCCTGAGAATCTGGAGGTGTGAGAGTCCGCTGACAGACAAGGGACAGTGATAGGGAAAGGCTGGAGGCCAGAGGCTGGGTAGATGACCCTAAGCCAGAGGACTGTGGTGCGGGTTGTGGGACGCGGTAACCAAAGACAGAGAAAGGAGGGCTGGAGTAGAAAAGGGTGGTGTGGAGGGGTGGGAAGGAGGGAGTTTGGAAAATAGGAGGGATCTGCCTCGGCGTTCCAGAGACAGACAGAGAAATGTGGGGGATTCTGAGAGAATCAGGGTTGGGGGCGGGGGGGTCAAAAGACAGAGGAAACTGGGGAGTCCAAAGACAAAGAGAGCGAGGGGCCCAGAGACAGAAAAACAGACCGGAGGGAAGCTGGGAGGGAGGGCCCGGGACGGAGCGGGGCGGTAGGGTCGACCCGAGCCCGACGGGAGGAAGCCGGCCGGGGGCGGACACACGCCCAGACGGAAGGGAGGTCCCGAGACTGACCGAAGGGAGGGGCCCTCGGGGAGAGGGTCCGCGGCGGCAGAGGGAAGGACGGAAGAGGGTGCACGCACCCGGAGACAGGACGAGGGAAAAAGGCACCCTCCTCCAGGGCACCCCCACGCCCCCAACCCCGGGCGGGCCCTGAGGCCACTTTGGAGAGCAGTAGCGACAGGGACAGGGCCTAGGGGCCGCTCGGACCCCCTCCCCTCGGCCTCCGCCCGGCGCACGCTCCCCGCCCCCACCCCAACCCCCCCAACGGCCGGCACCCAACGTCCCCGGCGCGCGTCCCCTCCCCCGCGCCGCACCCACATCCCCCTTACCGGGGTTGCCCTGGCAGGCCCCGGCGGGCGCCCCCACACCCCGCCCTGTTCGTGTCGGCGCCCCGGCTCCGACTCAGTCTCCTCCCGCTCCCTTCTCGCCCCGCGACCTCCTCACCAAGCTTTTTCCTCCGGCCCCGGCGCCGCCGTTTGTGCCAGCCGCCCTGCGCCGCACAGCGCGCCATACCCCGCCCCCACCGCGCGCGACGCCCCGCCCCGCCTCGCCCGTTGGGCACGTGACCGCGCCCCCACGGAGGCAACGGCGCCTGCGCAGACCTGAGCCGCGCTGGGCGAGGAAGTTCGGGACAAGCCCCCAGCCAAGGAGAAAGGAAACAGGGCTCCGTGGCCGACACGAGGTTCATTTGCATCATCCTCCGCCCCGCCCCCTTTGCGCGGGAGGGGGATCGCAGTGTGAGGGGCCGGGTCTGGGAGGGGGCGTTTCCTGCATGTTGGAATCAAGTGGCGTTGGCGGGGCGGAGCACGCAAATTATGTGATTTACATGAACAGGCCCACCCCGCGTTCCCCCCGAGCGCGGGCACCGGGTTCGGCAGCGCGGTGCGCGTGACTTCATTTACAGGGTCAGCTCCTCCTCCTCCTCCTCGCAGCCCAGGAACGGGGGTGAGAGATGGATAAATGGCTGCGCAGTTAGTTGGCAAATGTATGTAAATTCGCACGTCAGTAATTTACATAAGTATCTTTTATAACGGAGGAGAAAAAGTGCGGGATGCCCTTGAGAAGAGGGAACGCGGACTAGAAGGGATGTTGTGCCAATGTGTATTTTCAAGACCCGCTCCGCCCTGCCCCCTCGGGACAATCGTGGGAATCAGAATAAAGAACCAGGGAAAGTCTGGGCAACAGAGTGAGACCTTATCTTTACACAAAATTAAAAAATGAAACAAAAAAAAATCCACGGAACGCTACAGAGCTGGGAACATTTTGGGGCACTAAGGATATAAGGTCATTTTGAATGCCCCGCCCCCTCCACCGTAACTCTGGAGAGCTGGGACTCAAGGCTCCCGCGGGGTCGGTAAGGCGGACGCGGAGGTGGGAGGGCGACGAGCAACTGGGAGTGTCTTCAGGGGGCTGCACCAGTCCCCAGCAGGCCACCTGAGGGCGTAGGGCGGTTCGGGTGAGCACAAGGACATGCATACTGGTATCTACACATGCGTGAGGATTGCACAAAAACCCAGAGTCCTCAGGGCACACACAGGGTTCATGGCCACACAAGGGTGTTTCTTGTTTAGTTTTGTTTTTGAGATGGGGTCTTACCCTTCTGCCCAGGTTGAAGTGCTGTGGCACGATCACAGTTCACTGCAGGCCCAACCTCCCAACTAAAGTGATCCTCACAACTCAGCTTCCGGTGTAGCTGGGACTTCAGGTGTGTACCATGACACCTGGCTAACTTTTTCTGTTTTTTATTTTTGTAGATAGGGTCTCTCTGTGTTGCCCAGGCTAGTCTCCAACTCCTGGGCTCAAGTGATCCATCTGCCTTGGCCTCCCAAAGTGCTGGGATTACAGGCATGAGCCACCACACGTGGCCACACATGGGTGTTTAAAAGGAGCCAAATTCACACCGAAACACACACAGACCTCAGGGGCACACATGCACAGGCACACAAGCGGTAGTGAGTCACTGCCTCTGATTCTCAGGCATCAGGCATGCACAGACCGGAGGCCCACCTATAGGTCCAAATTCCCATCCCTTGGCCTTGATGTCCCAAACAATACCAGCCTCACCAATACACTCACCAATACAATCACCAAGGCCACAGAGCAGTTACAGCTATCAGCATCACACACAACCAGCACACATTCCTATAGACATCATCCCATACGCAGGTACTGGAAACATGTACACGTCACAAACACAGGGACATCAGCATGTTTACACACTTGAGCTTAGAACACAGATTGTCACAAACTGTCCACACAGTAACAAATGCCCTCCCTCCGCAACAGGCACCTGAGTCATCATGCTTGGTATACCCCACACCATGTCCAATCAGGAAACGAGGCCCCCAAGGCCATGCCAGTGGCTCACACCTGTAATTCCAGCACTTTGAGAGGCCGAGGCGGGTGGACCACCTGAGGTCGGGAGTTTGAGACCAGCCTGACCAACATGGAGAAACCCCATCTCTACTAAAAATACAACATTAGCCGAGCATGGTGGCGCATGCCTGTAATCCCAGCTACTCGGGAGGCTGAGGCAGGAGAATCTCTTGAACCTGGGAGGTGGAGGTTGTGGTGAGCCAAGATCGCGCCATTGCACACCAGCCTGGGCAACAAGAAGGAAACTCCCATCTCAAAACAAACAAACAAAAAACAGAAACAAGGCCCCCAAACACCATGACATTTGATTCTTCCATCAGGGACCTCTTCCATCTCCCTGCCATCTCAGAATAATGGAGGCCAAGACACAGGTGTAAACAATGCTTTATGGGGGTAGGGTGGGTGCTGGACAGGCCTCCAGGTAATAAATAACAGGTACTAGCAACAGCAGGGCCAGGCGGGGAGGTAGGGACAAATGACCCTGGTCTCAGGCTTTGGGAGCTCTTGGGGTATGGTTAGGGGTTCAGGGGGACAGAGGTTAGCCAAGACAGAGGAAGCAGCAGCAGGTACGGGATCCCCCTTCCCCCGTGGCTCAGTCTTGCCCCAAAGCCAGGCCCCACCAAGGAAGGGGGACAGGTGGCGGCGCAGCTTCTCCGGGGCCAGGGCAGGTTGGGACATGGCCTCTCAGAGCCTGGGCCTGGGCCCCAGCCGGAAGGGCAGGGCTGGTCCTGAAGAACAGGTGAGCTGAAAGAGAAGGGTGTGGTGACCTGCAGGGTCCCTGGGGTCTGTCCAGCTGGTCTCTATCTCATTTCCAGGTATTTCCCTGCCCTCCTATCTACATCGGTCTGTCCATACCTTTCTTCTCCCAATTTCTACATTGTCTGATTTTCCGTCTCTCCCCTGCAGGTAATTTGGGGCTTGCGCTGAGGGTACCTGCATCTCCCTGTTTGTTTGCCTCAGAAAGCTAAGTCTGTAAAGCCACATTTCAACATCTAAATATCATGAATCTGGCTGGACGCGGTGGCTCACGCCTGTAATCCCAGCACTGTGGGAAGCCAAGGCGGGAGGACTGCTTGAGCCCAGAAGTTTAAGACCAGCCTAGGCAACACCACGAAACCCCATCTCTACAAAAAAATACAAACATTAGCCAGGCATAGTGGCATGCACCAGTAGTCCCAGCTACCTGGGGGGCTGAGGTGGGAAGATGGCTTGAGCTTGAGAGGTGGAGGTTGCAGTGAGCCAAGATTGTGCCACTGCACTCCAGCCTAGGCAACAGAGTGAGACTGTCTCAAAAAAATAAATAGGCTGGGCGCAGTGGCTCACACCTGTAATCCCAGCACTTTGGGAGGCCAAGACGGGCAGACCACAAGGTCAGAAGTTCAAGACCAGCATGGCCAATGGTGAAACCCTGTCTCTACTAAAAATACAAAAATTAACCAGGCATGGTGGCAGGCGCCTGTAGTCCCAGCTGCTTGGCAGGCTGAGGCAGGAGAATCGCTTGAACCCAGGAGGCGGAGGTTGCAGTGAGCCAAGGTCACACCACTGCACTCCAGCCTGGGTAGCAGAGGGAGACTCTATATCTCCAAAAAAATTAAATAAATAAATAAATAAAATGAACCTGCCTTTGTATCTTTCTGAGTCCCTCTATGTTCCTGGATCACCCTGGCTCTAAGTCTCATTTCAGTGTTCCCCAAACTGGGGAGACGTTAGGTTAGTGTTTCTCACTTTGGTTGTATATAGCATTAACTGGGAGCTTCCAGAAATGCTGAAACTGGCTGGCTCATGTCTTTAATCCCAGCACTTTGGGAGGCCAAGGCGGGAGAATCGCTTGAGGCCAGGAGTTTGAGACCAGCCTGGGCAACATAGTGAGACGCCATCTCTATTTATGTTTTAATTAAGAAAAAAAAAAAGTCCTGAAACCACTTCAGAATCTCTGGGGTGAGGCCTGGGCATCAGTATATTTTAAAGTTCTCCAGGTAATTCTAACGTGTGTCACTACCTTGGTGGGGAAATCAGTTTGGTGGGCCTTGACCAATTTTTAAATTCAAATAGAATAGGATAGAACAGCAAATATCAGAGTGCATCCTATATAATAAGAATATTCTATTGATTGGGTGGGTGCAGTGGCTCAAACCTATAATCCTAGCACTTTGGGAGGTAAAGGCAGGAGAGGATCACTTAGGCCCAGGAGTTCGAGACCAGCCTGGGCAACACAGACACTGTCTCTACAAAATTAAAACATTATTTAAAAAAAATTTTTTTTTTTTAAATGCAGGTGCATCACCTGAGGTCAGGAGTTTGAGACCAGCCTGGACAACATGTTGAAACCCTGTCTCTACTAAAAATACAAAGAAATTAGCTGGGCATGGTGGTGGACACTTGTAATCCCAGCTACTAGGGAGGCTGAGGCAGGAAAATCACTTGAACTCGGGAGGCAGAGGTTTCAGTGAACCAAGATCACACCATTGCACTCCAGCGTGGCAACATGAGTGAAACTCCATCTCAAAAAATAATAATAATAATTTTAAAAGATATATTATATTGGTTGGCTGGGCTCGGTGGCTTATGTCTGTAATCCTAGCACTTTGGGAGGCTGAGGTAGAGGATTGCTTGAGGCCAGGAGTTTTTTTGTTTTGTTTTGGTTTGGGTTTTTTTTTTTTGAGACAGAGTCTTGCTCTGTCACCGATGCTGGACTGCAGTGGCGCGATCTCGGCTCACTACAACCTCCGCTTCCAGGGATCAAACGATTCCTCTGCCTCAGCCCCCTGAGTAGCTGGGATTACAGGCGCATGCCACCACGCTCAGCTAATTTTTGTATTTTTAGTAGAGATGGGGTTTTACCATGTTGGTCACCCTGGTCTCGAACTCCGACCTCGTGATCTGCCTGCCTCAGTCTCCCGAAGTGCTGCGATTACAGGCGTGAGCAACCACACCCAGCAAGGTCAGGAGTTTAAGACCAACCTGGCTAACATAGTGAGACCATATCTCAAAAAAAAAAAAAAGAAAGAAAGAAAGAAAAGAAAAAAGGAAAAGAGACCAGGCATGGTGGCTCCCACCTTTAATTCCAGCACTTAGGAATCCTGAGGTGGGTGAATCGCTTGAGTTCAGGAGTTCGAGACCAGCCTGAGCAACATAGTGAAACCCCATCTCTTCAAAAAATAAAAATACAAAAATTAGCCGGGCGTGGTGGTGCACACCAGTAGTCCCAGTTACTTGGGGGGCTGAGATGGGTAGATGACTTGAGTCCAGGAGGTCAAGGCTGCAGTGAGCTGAGATGGTGCCACTGCACTCCAGCCTGGATGACAAAGTGAGAACCTTCTCAAAAAAAAAAGGTAAAGGAAAAGAATATTATATTGGCCAACAGAGACAGAAAACAAATTGGTAGTTGCCAGGGGCTGGGGGAATGGAGAGTGACTGCTTAATAAGTATGGGGTTTCCTTTTAGGGTAATGAAAACATTCTGAGGCCAGGCACAGTGGCTCACGCCTGTAATCCCAGCACTTTGGGAGGCCGAGGCGGGTGGATCACCTGAGGTCAGGAGTTCGAGCCAGCCTGGCCAACATGGTCAAACCCCGACTCTACTAAAAATACAAAAATTAGGTGGGTGTGGTGATGCATGCCTGTAATTCCAGCTACTCCAGAGGCTGAGGCAGGAGAATCGCTTGAACCCGGGAGGCGGAGGTTGCAGTGAGCCAAGATCGCTCCACTGCACTCTAGCTGGGTAACAGAGCGAGACTCTGTCTCAAAAAAAAAAAAAAAGAAAACATTCTGGAACAACACAGAGGTGGTGATTGCACAACCCTGTGAATGAACTGAATGCCATTGAATTGTACACTTTGAAAAGTCACGTAAATGTATGTTATGTGACTTTCACTTCAGTGCCAAAAAACGAAAGAATACTGGTGGTAGGAAAATGTGTTTGAGTTTTATATGTGGGTGGGATCTTCTACAGTCAGTCCTAGATCAACACGTAAAATATATTTCTTCCTGCAGGTTGCAGTCAACAAAGTGTGAAAAAGGCTTGCCTTGTTACATTTGACCTACTGAGGGCAAACTCTAGGACAGAGTCTCTGCTACGCCCTGAGGTGAAGAGGACACACCCATTCCTTTGAGCTCAGCCCAAAGATGGCTAAGAAGAAAAGTTTAAAAACAGCCCTCATCGATCAAGTCTTGACCACAAGGCGCCATTCTGAGCACTTTCGTGAATTAACTTATTTCTTCTCAACACCTATAGAAGCAGGTGCTATTATTAGCCTCATTTTACAGATAAGCAAACTTCTTGCTCAGGCACAGCAGGTGCAAAGTCCTGGAAGGACAAGAGAGCACTTTCTGAAGACATCATCCTTGATTCCTCTCTCTCTTTCAGATTACACATCCATTCCATCAGGAAATCATGTTGGCTCTGCCTTCCAAGTAGATCCAAGGTCTAACCACCTGTTCCCCACCTGTCCCACCCTGGAGCTGCCAAGGGCTAGGAGGGGATTGAGCATGAAGTATAGAAGGGAGAATTGGTAAGACATACACATCCCCCAGAGAGGGGGGAATGGGACCAAACCCTGCAGGGTTTTGAAAGCCCATCAAGAAGTTTGGGTCCCGGTGCAGTGGCTCACGCCTATAATCCCAGCACTTTGGATGCTGAGGTGGGTGGATCACTTGGGGCCAGGAGTTTGTGAGCAGCTGGCCAACATGGTGAAACCCTGTCTCTACTAAAAATACAAAAAATTAGCAGGCGTTGGTGGCCGGTGCCAATAGTCCCAGCTACTCAGGAGGCTGAGGCACCAGAATTGCTTGAACCCAGGAGCGGAGGTTGCGGTGAGCTGAGATCACGCCACTGCACTCCAGCCTGGGTGACAGAGTGAGACTCTATCTCAAAAAAAAAAAAAAAAAAGTTTGGACCAAGTATGGAGGAACAAGTAGTGCTTCCTGGAGGAGGGAAGGAGGTTGCCAGGGAAAACAGGGTAGGAATGGTGTTGCAGGCAGAGGCCCAGCATGATGAGCAAGGGCCCAGAGGAATGGGAAGAACTTCAGTGTGGCTGGAGTGGCCTGAGAGGTAGGGAGACGGACAAGTGGCTGAGGCCGGTGAGGCTGGGCTGGCAGGGGCCAGTCCCTGCAGAGGGTCAAACACCAGGCTGAGGAGTTCTGCTGTGTCCTGGGACCCTGAGAGGCATGGATGGTTTTGAACAAGGGAGCGAGAGGAGCAGATGTGTGTATTAGAAAGACCCAGTGGCCGCATCAAAAGGAGACAGGATTGGCTGGGCGCGGTGGCTCAGGCCTGTAACCCCAGCACTTTGGGAGGCCGAGGCCGGTGAATCACCTGAGGTCAGGAGTTTGACACCAGCCTCACAAACATGGCAAAACCCATCTGTATTAAAAATACAAAAATTGACCAGGTGCAGTAGCTCACGCCTGTAATCCCAGCACTTTGGGAGGCCAAGGCGGGTGGATCATGAGGTCAGGAGATCAAGACCATCCTGGCTAACACGGTGAAACCCCGTCTCTACTAAAAATACAAAAAATTAGCCAGACATGGTGGCACACGCCTGTAGTCCCAACTACTCGGGAGGCTGAGGCAGAAGACTCGCTTGAACCCAGGAGGCGGAGGTTGCAATGAGCTGAGACCGTGCCACTGCACTCCAGCCTGGGTAACAGAGTGAGACTCCATCTCAAAAAAAAAAAAAAAAAACAACAACTAGCTGGCCATGGTGGTACACGCCTATAATCCCAGCTACTTGGGAGGCTGAGGCAGGAGATTCACTTGAACCCAGGAGACGGAGGTCACAGTGAGCCAAGATGGTGCCACTGCGCTACAGCCTGGGTGACAGAGTGAGATTCTCTCTAAAACAAAACAAAACAAAACAAAAAAAATGGCTCACGCCTGTAATCCCAACACTTTAGGAGCCCGAGGCAGGCAGATCACAAGGTCAGGAGATCGAGACCAACCCGGCTAACACGGTGAAAGCCCGTCTCTACTAAAAAAAATACAAAAAATTAGCCAGGCGTGGTGGCAGGTGCCTGTAGTCCCAGCTACTGGAGAGGCCGAGGCAGGAGGATGGCGTGAACCCGGGAGGCAGAGCTTGCAGTGAGCCGAGATCATGCCACTGCACTCCAGCCTGGGCAACAAAGTGAGACTCTGTTTCAAAAAAATAATAATAAAAAAGACAGGACCGAAGGAAAACAAAAAAAAAGATTGGCCAAAACTGGAAGACAAAGAGTCTGGGGAGGACGTGGACCCTATTCCCTTCTCAGCCATTCCTCTGCCCGCCCCCTCGTCCTGTACTCCACCATTTCTCCCCTGGACTTTGCAGCAGCTTCCTCTCTGGTGTCCTGGTGACCCCCTCTGCCCCTCACAGCCTCTTCTCTTTATGCAGGCAGAGGAACTCTATGAACCCCTGAATCGGACCCTGTCCCTCCTCTGTTTAGAAGCTTCCCGTGGCTCCCACACAGGATATAAGCCAGAGGCTTCCCCAGGGCCTACAGGCCCTAACTGATCTGCTTCCTCCAACCCCTGACCCCATCTCATGCTGTACCCGCAACACACACACAGGTCCTCCATGACGCCCACACTGGCTGCTTCGGTCACCCTCACCCACGCCAGGCATGACCCTCACTAGCAGCGTTGCACTTGCTGTGCTCTCGGGCAACGCTCTTGCCCCAGATCCCCACAGGCCTCCCTGTCTCCCCTCCTTTACTCAAATGTCATCTTCTCAGTGAGGCTTCCATCATCTTGTTTAAAAGTACACTCTAGGCTAGGTGCGGTGATTGACACCTGTAATCCCAGCACTTTGGGAGGCTGAGGTGGGCGGATCACGAGGTCAAGAAATCGAGACCAACCTGGCCAACATGGTGAAACCGTCTCTACTAAAAATACAAAAATTAGCTGGACATGGTGGCACACACCTGTAGTCCTACCTACTCAGGAGGCTGAGGCAGGAGAATCGCTTGAACCCAGGAGGCAGAGGTTGCAGTGAGCCAAGATCATGCCACTGCACTCCAGCCTGGTGACAGAGCGAGACTCCATCTCAAAAAAGAAAAAAGAAAAAAGAAAAAAAGGACAGGTGCGGTGGCTCACACCTGTAATCCCAGCACTTTGGAAGGCCAAGGCAGGCAGATCACCTGAGGTCGGGAGTTCCAGACCAGCCTGACCAACATGGAGAAACCCCGTCTCTACTAAAAATACAAAATTAGCCAGGCGTGGTGGCACATGCCTGTAATCCCAACTACTCAGGAGACTGAGGCAGGAGAATTGCTTGAACCTGGGAGGCAGAAGTTGCAGTGAGCCAAGATTGAGCCATTACACTCCAGCCTGGGCAACAAGAGTGAAACTCTGTCTCAAAAGAAAAAAACAAAAAGTACACTCTTGGCCAGGCGCAGTGACTCACACCTGTAATCCCAACATTTTAGCAGGCTGAGGGTGGGTGGATCACTTGAGGTCAGGAGTTTGAGACCAGCCTGGGCAACATGGTGAAACCCCGTCTCTACTAAAAATACAAAAAATTAGCCGGGCATGGTGGTAGTCACCTGTAATCTCAGCTACTCACGAGGCTGAGGCGGGAGAATCACTTGAACCCCAGAAGCGGAGGTTGCAGGGAGGCGAGATCGTGCCACAGGACTCCATCCTGAGTGACAGAGCGACACCCCATCTCAAAGGAAAAAAAAGTACACTCCTCCACCCTGTCCACCCGTTTGTGCTTGTTTTATTTTTCTCCATAGTTCTTACCTCCCTCACTACTACATACTTTACTTATGTATTTCTTTTCTTTTCTTTTTTTTTTTTTTTTTTTTGAGACAGTCTCGTTCTGTCACCCAGGCTGGAGTGCAGTGGTGCATGGTCACAGCTCACTGCAGCCTCAAACTCCTGGGCTCAAGTCATCCTCCCACCTCAGCCTCCTGAGCAGCTGGGACTCCAGGTGCACACTACCACGCCTGACTAATTTTAAACAACTTTTTGTGGAGATAAGGTTGCTTTGTTGCCCAGCCTGGTCTCAAAGTGATCTTCCCATCTCACCCTGCCAAAGTGCTGGGATTACAGGTGTGAGCCACTGCACCCAGCCGACTCACATCTCATTTATCACCTGTCTCCTCCAAAGAGAATGTCAGCACCATGAGGATGGGAGTCTGTTTTACTCCCTGCTATATCCCCAGTGCCTTGAGCAGGGCCTGGCACACAGCAGGCGCTCAATAAATCGTTGGAGAACTATGAGTGGAAGGGTCAAGGTCTAGGGCAGGAAGCTGGCCTGGAGCTGCAGGGGACAGGTGGATTCCCTGTGGCCCAGAAGATGTCTCCTTTTTTTTTTTCTTTTTTGAGACAGAGTCTTGCTCTGTCGCCCAGCCTGGAATGCAGTGGCTAAATCTTGGCTCACTGCAACCTCCACCTCCCAGGTTCAAGTGATTCTCCTGCCTCAGCCTCCCGAGTAGCTGAGAATATACGCATGTACCACCATGCCTGGCTAATTTTTGTATTTTTAGTAGAGAAGGGGTTTCACCATGTTGGCCAGGCTGGTCTCAAACACCTGACCTTATGTATCCCCCCGCATCACATGCAACCCCTCTGCCTGTGTCCCCTCATCCCACCCTGACCCCTCTGCCTGCCCTATCCCACCCCTGATCCCTCTGCCTGTGCCCCAACCCTGGCCCTGACCCCCCTGGGCCTCTCCCCTGCTGGCTCTGACCCATCTCCCCCAGTCTCCCAGTGCTTCCCCATCTGGTCCTGACCTTTCTTTTTTTTTTTTTTTGAGATGAAGTCTTGCTCTTGTCACCCAGGCTAGAGTGCAATGGCGTGACCTCAGCTCACTGCAACCTCCACCTCCTGGGTTCAAGCGATTCTCCTGCCTCAACTTCCCAAGTAGCTGGGATTACAGGCACCTGCCACCACACCTGGCTAATTTTTGTATTTTTAGTAGAGAGCGGGGGTTTCACCATGTTGGCCAGACTGGTCTCGAACTCCTGACCTCAGGTGATCTGCCCGCCTCAGCCTTCCAGAGTGCAGAGATTACAGGTGTGAGCCACTGTGCCCAGCCTGGCCCTGACGTTTCTGAGCTGTCACTGTCTGGAAGTGGGTCTGTCCCTCCACCCCGACCCAGTGAACTGCCTCCGCCCACCTGGGCCTCCCAAAGCGCTGAGATTACCGGCCACTGCACCCAGCCAGATGCCTGCTTTAGCTTGTGTGCTTTTGCATCTTTCTCTCTCACTCTGTTTCTCTTGCCATGACATGTTCAGTGTCTCTCTCCACACCACCTCCCCTATTCCCAGGAGACCACCCTGCCTCTCTGAGCCCCCAGTGTCCCACCTGGCTCCGCAAGGCTCAGCAGCCACACGGCTGAGGGGCCACGGCCTGGGCACTCCGAGGCTGCCGAAGCTGGCGGAGGGACGCGTCCCCGTACTGGATGCCGGATCCCATCCTCTCGGGGTCTAGCTCGCCTGTCGGGGAAGGGGAGAGGTCAGCACTGGTGGCCTGGAGACCCCCAGGCCTGCCCTCCGCTCCCACTCGGGCCGGTCGGGGCCTCACCTGAGTCAATCTTGTTGAGGATGGTGCGGGCACACTTGAGGAACGCCTCTTCCACGTTCTCACCTGTGAGAGCGCTGGTCTCCAGAAACATCAGCTCTGCAGGGGCACACACTCTGAGGTCAGGGCCCCAGTCAGTCCCCACCCTCCACTGAGCTCTCACCTGCTGACTCTCATCCTGTTCCTCCAATGTTCCATCTCTGCTTACCCTCACCTCAGGCCTCTGCGCATGCCATTTCCCTGCCATTGATGTCCACTTCCCCATATGCCCACCCAGCTCTTCCTTCAGAGCTCAGCTCACACAGCTCGTCCTCCAGGAAGTCCTCCCTGACTGCCTAGGCTGGGTAAGGTGCCTACTTAGGGCTCCCACAGCTTCTTGTGGCCCCCTATCCTGGCCCTGACCCCTCTGCTTGTGTCTCCTCATCCTGACCCCAACCCTCTGCCTGGGTCCCCGTTGTACCCCCCAGACCCTTCTGCCTGGGCCTGCCCCATTCTACCCCTGACCCTTCTGCCTGGGCCTGCCCCATTCCACCCCTGACCCCTCTGCCCATGCTCCCCCATCCCATGCAACCACTCTGCCTGTGCCCCCCAAACTTGGCCTTGACCCCTCTACCTGGGCTCCCCATCCCACCCCAACCCTCTGCTCATGCTCCCCATTCCATGTAACTCCTTTCCCTGTGCCCCCTCATCCCACCTGACCCCTCTGCCTCTGCCTGCCTTATCCGAGCCCTGACCCCTCTACCTGTGCCTGCCCTATCCCAGCCCTGACGCCTCTGCCTGTGTTCTCCATCCCACCCCAATCCCTCTGCCTACTCCCCCAATCCTGGCCCTGGCCCCTCTGGGGCTCTCCCCTGCTGGCTCTCACCCCTCTCTCCCGGTGCTTCGCCATCAAGCCCTGACCTTTCTGGGCTGTCACTGTCTGGCAAGCGGGTCTGTCCTTCCACCCCCACCCACTGAACTGTGAGCTCCATGCAGGTTGGGCCTAGGGCTGTCTCCAACACTGTGTCCCTAGCACCATCTAGGACAGGCACAGGCCAACCAGAGTCTACCCATCAGCCTCGTGAAAAGGTCCCACAGTCAGAAAATCAGAGCTGGATTCACACCCACACCTCTCTGATGGCAAAACCTCCTTTAAAACCTGGAGGTTGCAAACCAGGGGAACATAAGCAGATCTCAAGCCACCAGATGTGGGTGGTTTGGCCAACACAATGTTTTCAAATGAGTTTATACTTGCAAACCTTTTTTCTTTGTTTTTTTCTTTGAGACAAAGTATCTCTCTGTCCCCTAGGCTGGAGTGCAGTGGTGCGATCATAGATCACTGCAGCCTCGAACTTCTGGGCTCAAGTGATCCTCCTGCCTCAACCTCCTGAGTAGCCCGGACCACAGGCCTATACCACCACACCCAGCTTTTTTTTTTTTCTTTTTTTGTAGAGGTAGGGTCTCCCTCTGTTACACAGGCTGGTCTCAAACTCCTGACCTCAAGTGATCCTCCTACCTTGGCCTCCCAAAATGCTGGGATTACAGGTGTGAGCCATTGTGGTTGGCCCTTGCAAGCCTTTTGGTGTGGGTTGTCAGTATGCTGCACTCCCCTTAACACTAGTGCCTGTTACTCTAGGATCTACCCCATCCCATCTCCTATATTCAAAAATGTGCCTTTTGCCGGGTGTGGTGGCTCACACCTGTAATCCCAGCACTTTGAGAGGCTGAGGCGGGCAGATCACAAGGTCAGGAGTTCAAGATCAGCCTGGCCAATATGGTGAAACCCCGTCTCTACTAAAAATACAAAAGTGTGTGGTGGCGTGTGCCTGTAGTCCCAGATACTCGGGAGGCTGAGGCAGAAGAATCACTTGAGGCCAGGCGTCGTGGCTCACACCTGTAATCCCAGCACTTTGGGAGGCTGAGGCGGGCAGATCACGAGGTCAGGAGATGGAGACCACAGTGAAACCCATCCCTACTAAAAATACAAAAAATTAGCCGGGCGCGGTGGCGGGCGCCTGTAGTCCCAGCTGCTCAGGAGGCTGAGGCAGGAGAATGGTGTGAACCCGGGAGGCGGAGCTTGCAGTGAGCCGAGATTGCGCCACTGCACTCCAGCCTGGGCAACAGAGCTAGACTCCGTCCAAAAAAAAAAGAAGTTGCAGTGAGCCGAGACTGCACCACTGTACTCCAGTCTGGGTGACAGAGCAAGACTCCGTCTCAAAAAAAAAAAAAAAAAAACTGCTTTTCACCCAGGGCCATCTGGGGTTGCAATCTCTACATTAAACCAATACCCGGGAAGGTGCGGTAGGAAGGAAAAAATAGATAAAATAAAATATAATAAAACAATTAATTAAACCAATACCCTGTGCCGCCTCCCCACTGTAGGCGAAACCTTAGCAGCCAATATTAATCTAGCACCTGCTCTGTGGCAGGTGCTGAGGACTTTCCACAGACAATCTCCCTTAATCATCACAGCACACTGTGAGGCAGAAACGCTGTGATCCCACTTTCCAGATGAGGAAACTAAGAACCAGCGTAATCACACAGCTCACTGGGGTCAACACTTAGGGATTTTTGGTTTGTTTGTTTGTTTTTTTTTGGAGACAGGGTCTTGCTGTGTCTCCCAGACTAGAGTACGATGTCGTGATCACAGCTCACTGAAGTCTTAAACTCTCAGGCTCAGGTGATCCTCCTGCCTCAGCCTCCACTGTAGCTGGGACTACAGGTATAAGCCACCACACCCACCTAATTTTTAAAATTTTTTGTAGAGATAGGATCTCACTACGTTGTCCAGGCTGGTCTCAAACTCCTGGGCTCAAGCAATCCTCCCACTTTGGCCTCCCAAACTGCTGGGATTACAGGTGTGAGCCACCATATCCAGCCAACACTCAATTTTGAACCCAGACCTCTGAACCTCCACGTTCCCCTGCTGGGCACAGCCACTCAGAGCCAGTAAACCCACGGTCCCTGTGGACTGTCCACCCCCACCACCACCTGGTCCACGACACAGCCCTCACCATTCTCCTGGGCAAAGCGGGAGGCCTCCAGGAAAGTGACCTCCCGCTCAGGGTCCAGGTCCTTCTTGTTGCCACAGAGGATGACCACGATGTTGGGGCTGGCCAGGGTGCGGGCATCCGTCAGCCAGGCAGCCAGTGAGTTGTACGTCTCCCGGCTGTGGAGAAGGGAGAGGGGAGGGAGGCAGTGCAGAGAGGAGCCACCCATGCCCTGCCCCACCCACCCACCTCGGGCACCCACCTGGTGATGTCGTACACCAGCAGGGCTCCAGCTGCCCCTCGGTAATAACTCCGCGTCACCGACCTGTGGGGCCAGGGGGACCCAGTCACCCCCAAGGCTGGGGTCTGCCCCAAGAATGCCCCCCTCTGCAGACAGAGACTGGTGGTTCGGAGGCCCCCCTTCACTGCTGGCCCATCCCCCAAAACCTGGCCTTGGTTGGGTCGCCATGCAATTCCTCTCTGTTCTTGCATCCTTGCAGTCCCTCTCTCTTTGCCTCTCTCAGCTTCTATCTCACTTAGCTGGCCAGCTGCCTCTGTCTGTAAGTCTCCCGTCTTTGTCTTTCCCTATGTCCCTGTCTTTCCATTGGTCTCTTTTTCTCTCTATGTCTCTTACATGTGTGTCTTTTTTTAATTTTAATTTTAATTTTTTTGATGGTCTTGCTCTATAGCCCAGGTTGGAGTGAGTGGCACAATCTCGGCTCACTGCATCCTCAAACTCCTGGGCTCAGTCTCCCAGGGGAGGGATCCTCCCACCTCAGCCTCTGGAGTATCTGGGACTACCAGTGTGCACCACCACACCTGGCTAATTTCTTAATATTTTTTGTAAAGATGGGGCTTTGCTAGGTTGCCCAGGCTGGTCTCCAACTCCTGGGCTCAAGTGATTCTCCTGCCTTAAGCTATGGGTCTTTTTTTTTTTTTTTAGTAAGAGTCTCACTCTGTCTCCCAGGCTGCAGTGCGCCATGATCTCGGCTCACTGCAACCACTGCAACCGCCACTTCCTGGGTTCAAGCGATTCTCTCACCTCAGCCTCTTGAGTAGCCAGGATTACGGATGCATGCCACCACATCGGCTAATTTTTGTATTTTTCGTAGAGATGGGGTTTTGCCATGTTAGCCAGTCTGATCTCAAACTCCTGACCTCAAGTGATCCGCCCACCTTGGCCTCCCAAAGTGCTAGGATTACAGGCGTGAGCCACTGTGCCCAGCCCTACGTGTCTTTTATGGATTGATCGATTGACTGAGATGGAGTTTTGCTCTTTCACCCAGGCCGAAGTGCAATGGCGTGATCTCGGCTCACTGCAACCTCTGCCCCCCGGATTCAAGTGATTCTCCTGCCTTAGCCTCCCAAGTAGCTGGGATTACAGGCATGCACTGCCACATCCAGTTAATTTTTGTATTTTTAGTAGAGATGGGGTTTCGCCATGCTGGCCAGTGTGATATTCAACTCCTGACCTCAAGTGATCCACCCGCCTAGGCCTCCCAAAGTACAGGGATTACAGGTGTGAGCCACCGTGGCTGGCCCTATTTAATTTCCTATTTCTCCCTGTCTTTTTTGTTTGTTTCACCTCTCTGGCTCTCTCATGCTTACTCTTGCCTTCCCATGCATTTGTGCATTCGTTCATTCAACATTTTCTGAGCAAATCTCCTCTTTGCCTGGCCCTGCCCAAGCGCTATGCAACATCTGCTTATCATTGTCCTGCTGTGTCAGGTGGAGGCTCCTTCCCAGTGTAGCCAACTCTGCATTCTCAGTCTCACCAGTCTGGGTCCTTCTGGAACTCATGCAATCATTCCACAAGCATTTACTAAGCACTCACCGTAAACCTAGCCCATGCCACACACCTGTCTATCCTTCAGCCCGTCTCTCTGCCTCTGGGCTCTGTGCACCTCAGGCAGTGAATCCATACACAAGTATTAACTCAGCTACTATGCTGCCATAGATCACACTTTTCCACGGACCAAATTCCCTCTATTTCTCTCCCTGCTCTCTGTCTCTGTTTCTCAGACTCCCCTAAGGTTTCTATGTGTCGATCAACTTTTCTGCAGTCATTTCCTGAAGACCTACCATGTGTTGAGCCCTATGCATTTCCCTCTCCCTCTCCCACAACACGTCCATTTCTCCATTTCTCTTTTGGAAAGATGGGATTTCACAATGTTGCCCGGGCTGGTCTCAAACTCCTGGACTCAAGCGGTTCTCCTGCCTTGGCCTGTGTGTCTTCAGTTCCCTATTTCTCGCTGTCTCTCTTTTTGTTCCATCTCTGTGGCTCTCATGCTCACTCTTGCGTTTCCATAAATCTATGCATTCATTCATTCATTCAATGTCCAACTACACCTGTCCGACTTGCCCTGTCTCCCTCTCTGCCTCTGACCTGTTTTTCTGTGTCTCCTCACCTCCTTTATTTATTTATTTTTGAGACAGAGTCTCGCTCTGTCACGCCAGCTGGGGAGAACTGGTGCAATCTTGACTCACTGCAACCTGTGCCTCCCAGGTTCAAGCAATTCTCCTGCCTCAGCCTCCCGAGTAACGCATCCACCACCACAGCCTAGCTAAATTTTTTTTGTATTTTTAGTAGAGACAAGGTTTCACCATGGTGGCAGACTGGTCCCGAACTCCTGACCTCAAGTGATCCACCCGCCTCAGCCTCCCGAAGTGCTGGGATTATAGGTGTGAGCCACTGTGCCGGGCCTCCTTACCTCCCTTATCATTCTCTTCAACTCTCTTAGTCTCTGTCTCTCTTGCTCTTTTCCTTTCTGGGTGTGTCTCTCTCAAGTTTCCCCTTCTCTTTCTGTTTCAATGTCTCTCAGTCTCTATCCCTCACCCCCTCCCCAAGCCACTTTTCTCTCTCTTTCTTTCTTTGAGATGGGGGTCTCGCTATGTTGCCCAGGCTGGTCTCGAACTTCTGGGCTCAGGCAATCTTCCCACCTTGGCCTCCTAAAGCACGGGGATTACTGGCATGAGCCACTGCATCTGGCCCCTACCTCTTTTTCTTCCGCCATCTCTTTCTCTCTCCAGTACTCCCTCTCTCCTTGGATATATATACCTGCTAACTACGGTGTCTCTTCTCTCTCTCTCTGCCTTGTCTGCCCTCTCAGTGTCTCCAAGTGACTCTACACACACGTCTCTCTCTCTTTCCTTCTCTCTCTCTCTCCTCATCACCCTTGGGAGCCCAGCCCACCTACCGAAACCGCTCCTGGCCAGCCGTGTCCCAAATCTGTAGCTTCACAGTCTTCCCACCCACGTTGACCACCCGGGATCCAAACTCCACGCCGATCGTGTGGTTGGAGTCCTGTTTGACTGGGAGTGGGAAGAACAGAAGGGGCAGTGCAGGGAGAGAGGAGGCAGCTCAGAGGATCCCCATCCTCCAAGGCCTTCTCAGTCTCTACAAACCCATTCTCATTGCTGGAGTGACTGAGGTCAAGGAGAACCTAGTAAAGGACATATGACAAAGCAAGGACCAAAAAGCCAGGACTGGACTTGTACCTATGGCCAGCCCTGCCCTCCCCACCAGCTGCCCACCAGCCCACACCATGCCCATAACCACAGCTCAGGGTTCCCAGGACCACTGCAGGAAACTCACACTTATTCTCAATGAACTGATGAAGGAGACATGATTTGCCAGTTCCTGCACTGCCAATCACCAGGAATTTGAAGAGGAAGTCTGACCAGATGGAGCCAAAATCAGGGATACCCACAGGGAGAGAAAGATACAGGGAAAAAGATGGATTCCAATCCAATCTGTCTCTCTAACCATCACAGTTAGAGGGAGAGAAACAGACATAGGCAGAAACAAACTAATAGGTAACAGTAACAGATAACTCTTATGTAGTACTTGCCATGTGCCAGGCACATTCTATATATTTTTTTCAACTTTTATTTTAGGTTCAGGGGATACATGTGCAGGTTTTTTTTGTCCTTGTTTTTGTTTTTTCGAGACAAGAGTTTCACTCTTTGTTGCCCAGGCTGGAGTGCAATGGCGCAATCTTGGCTCACCGCAACTTCCACCTCCCAGGTTCAAGCAATTCTCCTGCCTCAGCCTCCCGAGCAGCTGGGACTACAGGCATGCACCACCACGCTCAGCTAATTTTGTATTGTTAGTAGAGACGGGGTTTCTCCATGTTGGTCAGGCTGGTCTCAAACTCCCGACCTCAGGTGATCCGCTCACCTTGGCTTCCCAAAGTGCTGGGATTACAGGCGTGAGCCACCGTGCCCAGCCCACACGTGCAGGTTTGTTACATAGGTCAATTGTGTGTTGTTGTGGGCCAGGAACAGCTCTAAAGGTCTTTACTCACATCAACAGCTCACATCATCCTCAGGAAAACTCTATGAGGGAGGTAGCCTAAAAATTATTCCACTTTTCCAGATGAGGAAACAGGCCAGAGAGGTTAACTGACTTGCCCCAAGTGACAGAGCTAGGCAGAAGTGAGATTCAAACTTAGGCCAAGGGCTCCAGAGTCCATCGCTAAAGTCTCTTGAAAGCTATTTAAACAAGGACTACCATCTAGCCCTTGTTCCTCTTCACCTCCTACCACCCTCTGACTCATTCACTCCACTATAGCTCCTGACCTTCAGTCTATTCCCTGAAAACGACAAGCTGGTTCTCACCTCAGGGTCTTTGCACTCTTCTCTTCTGTATTTGTTGAACGAATGCAGCTCCCTCTGACTCCTAAACCTGCGCTTCCCCCGCCTCCAATCACCACCTCCTGTGCTGCATCCCTACTGATTTTCCACTTCCCGACCTCTCCTTCCCTCCCTCTGCCCAGACCGTGGCTCCATTCTCATGCATAAGCCCCACCCCTTGCCACTAAGTCCTGCCCCTAACTCAAGAACAGCCCATACCCAAACCCATTCCAGAGCTCTCTCCAGCCAGATCAACCCCAGGGTCCCGAGCTTCCATCCAGTGTTCCCTCTAGCCCATAAGCCCGACTCCTGCCATTCACGCAGTCAGCCCCGCCCCTTCACTCAGGCTCCGCCCAGATCCATTAAGGCCCACCTCTTCCCTCAGGGCCTCCCTGAACCCCTAAGTACCAGCTCCCTCAAATCCCGCCCCAGATCTATTTAACCCACGCACCAGACCCTCAGGCTCCACCTAAATCGATTAAGCTCAGCCTCAGACCCACTAAACCCCTCCCAGCATCCACTTAGGCCCTGCCTCCATAACACCAGACCCCGCCCCCTGATCTACAAAGCCCCGCCCATTCCCACAGGCCGCATCCTCCCGGGGCCCAGACCCAGGACCCCGGCTTCGGCCCACCACCCTCACCGTAGGTCTCGGCCATGACTCGGTCGCGGCCGCTGAGGGCCGCAATATGGCGCCGCGGCCGCGCCTGCTCCTCGGCTGGCAGCCGCTCCACTCCGGCTACAGCCCCGGCTTCTTCCTACTCCCCGGGCCCGGCACCGCCACTTCCGCCTCCGCCCCCCTCCAGCGCGACCCGCTCCAGCAGCTGGATACCAGACCACGCTTTCCGAAGGGCGGGATTGGTGGACTCGCGGGCAGAGGGCGGGACAAAAGGCGCGGATTGGTGGCATGAGAGGGGCCCAGCCCAAAGGGGCGGGGCCGAGGCCAGCGATTGGCTGAGCAACTGGGAAGGGACGTGCAGAGCTGCTTTGCCGAGCCGAGGAACGGATTTAGTCTGGAGTCCGGGGGCAGAGTCGAGTCTCCGGATTGGATTGGAGCAGACTTGGGGGAGGGGATACGAATGCAAAGAAGGGGGCACGGGCAGAATTGACAGAAAGAGGCTGGAAGAGGAGCTGATCTTGAGCTGGCGGGAGCGATTACTGGTCTCAAAGGCAAAAAGGAGGAAAACTCGGAAGATAGGCGCAGGTTACTTCCCGCCTCCCTTTGCAGATAATCTTCCAAGAAAACCTTTGCTGTGCGATTTATATCCTCCGCGTAGTCCCATTGGCTCCCTCCCACTGGTCTAGAGAGGACACTACAACCCCCTAGTTGGGCTGCTTAGGTTTTCCTTTGCTTGTGTCAGAAACCTAAGCTTAGGAGCCCTCCTACCGCACACGGCTTTCATCAGTGAAACACTGCCTAGCAACCACTGACGTTACCATATGCAGCGGGTTAACTGGTTAGATTCAGGAACCCAGAGAAACATTTCATTTGTATAGTTCCCACCCCACCCTACCCCACCCCAAAGACCACAGAGACAGGCCGTTTGCACTGGGCTGACTGTATTTGCATAAAGCCAAGGAGGGGAAACGGCAGGGCCAGCGGTAGGCTGAGCTCACTGGCAGTAGAAATCCCATTTCTGAAAAAGAGAAAGGAGAAACAGTGGAGAGAAAACCAGCGGTCACACCACAAAGGATCTAGTGGTTTTTGCAAAGGCTGCAGCTGCAGGGCCCAGGTCTGGCCACGCAAGTGCTACGCAAATTAGCCTAGAGCCCTCTAATCTTTGCACCTCCCAACCGGACCCATTTTACTGGTGAGAAAATTGAGGCAGGGAAAGAATTTCTCCCAGCGCACACACCTAGGGAGCCAAGGGTGGGAGCATTTTTGCTCATCCCCACAACCTAAGGGTCCTCCCCCCAGATTTTTTGCCAGCCCCCATGACACTCACGTCTGTCTTCACATTGACTTTGCCAGGTTTCAGGGTCTGGTCCTCCCGGACAATGCTACTGGGGAAATAGCCCAGGCGAGTGGCCAGATCTCCATAGTAATCTCCCTGAACCTAGGGAAGAGGAGTTAAAAGCTAGCGTCTGGGAAGATGGCAAGCTTATGCCTGCTGAAGGCTTTACATTCTCCCTTCTCCCTGATCTCCATGTAACTGGCTCCATCCTTGTCATACGAATCTCAGCTTAAATGTAACCTGTTCAGAAGCCTTTTCTGACCACCCAAGTCAGTCTCTGTTAATACTCACAGCAGCGCATATTTGCTTTTATTATTATTTTGGAGACAGGGTCTCACTGTGTCGCCCATGTTGGGGTGCAGTAGCATGACCACGGCTCACTGTAGCCTCAACTTCTGGGCTCAAGCAATCCTCCCACCTCAGCCTCCTGAGTAGCCGGGACCACAGATACACACCATGACGGCCAGTTAATTTTTAATTTTTTTTTTTTTGTGGGGGGGGGTCTTACTATGTTGCCCAGGCTGGTCTCGAACTCCTAGGCTCAAGCTATCCTCCCAACTTGGCCTTACTTGGGATTACAGGTGTGAGCTACCGTGCCCGGCTGCTATTTTTTATGACTTGCTTTTTGCTCATTTCTCTCCATTAAAATAAAAAGGATCAGGCCCGGCGCGGTGGCTCAAGCCTGTAATCCCAGCACTTTGGGAGGCCGAGTCGGGGGGATCACGAGGTCAGGAGATTGAGACCATCCTGGCTAACACGGTGAAACCCCGTCTCTACTAAAAATACAAAAAACTAGCCGGGCGAGGTGCCGGGCGCCTGTAGTCCCAGCTACTTGGGAGGCTGAGGCAGGAGAATGGCATAAACCTGGGAGACGGAGCTTGCAGTGAGCTGAGATCTGGCCACTGTACTCCAGCCTGGGTGACAGAGCGAGACTCCGTCTCAAAAATAAATAAATAAAAAAAATAAAAATAAAATAAAAAGGATCATTTGTTGTTGTATCTTGGTATCTAGAACAGAACGTGGGACCATAGCAGCTGCCCTAAAATTGGTAAATAAAGTGAAAACAGGCTGGGGGGGCAGTGGCTCACACCTAGAATCCCAGCACTCTGGGAGGCCAAGGCGGGCAGATCATGAGGTCAAGAGTTCAAGACCAACCTGGCCAGTATGGTGAAACCCTGTCTCTACTAAAAATATAAAAATTAGCCAGGTGTGGTGGCGCATGCCTGTAATCCCAGGTACTCAGGAGGCTGAGGCAGGAAAATCACTTGAACCCAAGAGGTGGAGGTTACAGTGAGCCGAGATCACACCATTGTATTCCAGCCTGGGTGACAGAGCAAGTCTCTGTCTTGGAAAAAATTAAAAATAAATAAATAAGGGCCGGGCGCAGTGGCTCACGCCTGTAATCCCAGCACTTTGGGAGGCTGAGGTGGGCGGATCATGAGGTCAGGAGTTCGAGACCAGCCTGGCCAATATGGTGAAACCCTATCTCTACTATAAATATAAAAATTAGCCGGGCGTGGTGGCACGTGCCTGGAGTCCCAGCTACTCAGGAGACTGAGGCAGAAGAATCGCTTGAACTCGGGAGCGGAGGTTGCAGTGAGCCCAGATTGCGCCATTACACTCTAGCCAGGGCAACAGAGTGAGACACTGTCTCAAAAATAAATAAATAAAGTAAGTAAGTAACAATATACCCCCACAATGTCTATTTCAGTTCATCCCCCTCAAATCTTCCCTTCATGGGGATAATGAGTCTACCCCAGCCCTGTACCCTTCCCCTCTTTCACTCTCCCAAGACTCACGCTGCCTCCCCAGAAGAGCCGCCCACGGCCCTTCAGCTTGGAGAAGACATACACCACTTGGCCCCGGTGAATGGTCAGGAATCGGCAGTCGGGGGCCATGTAGTCCTGAAGGGCCACAGCCATGGAGATAGGGTCTAGGGAAGGAATAGAAGGGAATGCAACACCCTCCACACAGGCTAACACCCCAAGCCCCCAGTTCTCCCTCCCCACTCTTACGGCTGCACTCCTGGTCTGCACACAGCTTCCGGTCAGCCAGCTTGGGCATAGGGCCACCCCCGACACCAGGTCCGGAGAAGGCAGACAGCAAGACGATGACACTGAGGAACACCAGGGACCAGGCCATCGTGGACTGTGAGCAAGAGAGTGAGCAAAGGGGTGCTGAGGTCTCCAATTTCCTCCCCTCCCTCTCTCCCATAGCTCAAGGAAACTTGTGTTCTTGGTCTTATCCCCGCCCTAAACCAGTCCCAAATTTCGCCCACACCACCTAGAAGTTGCTACCCAGCCAGAACCATTTCAAGGATAGGGTAAAGGCTGCAAGCCCAAGGAAATTCCCAGATAAGGTCCAAAGCAGCTCACAGCTTTCCCAGTGACAGCCCCCTCCTCAACAATCACAGAGGCCCAGACAAGGTGGTTGAGATATTCAATTCCATCTTCTCTTGAGTTGGCTTAGGTACCTGGGCTCCTCTGCTGTCCCCTCTGGTGACAGAAGCAGGAGGAGCCTGTAAGGAAAACCACCTTGGAATTTCCTGTGCTGTGGGGCAGGAGAACAAGGCAGCCCTTTGATGACCAGAAACAGCTCAGCCCTGGAGTACTGACTGAATATTGTATGCTGAACCTTAGGCTAGGCAATGTCCCACCACGATCACTGTTTATCTGCACCAGCCGCTTCCCACTGGATGACCTGGGCTAAGCTATTTCTCCTCACAGAGCCTCAGCATCCTTATATGTAAAATGGGAACAATAAAAAAGGCCAGTAGTTATAGAGCATTCACCAAGTACGTATTTATGTTATGAACTCAAATGGATACTCTGTATCATGTCAGGAGTGATTATAAACCCTCCCTTTCTTTTTTGAGACAGGGTCTCACCCTGTTGCCCAGGTGGAGTGCAATGGTGCCATTGTGGCTCACTGCAGCCTCAACCTCCTAGACTCAGGCAATCCTCCCACCTCAGCCTCCTGAGTAACTGGGACTACAGGCACAAGCCACCTATGCCCGATTAATCCATTTTTTTACAATAATTATTTTGAGGTAGGGTCTTGCTCTGTTGCCCAGGTTGGAGTACAGTGGCATGATCCTGGTTCACTGCAGCCCCTATTTCCTGGGCTCAAGCAGTCCTCCCACCTCAGCCTCCCGAGTAGCTGGGACCACAGACATGCACCATTATGCTCAGTTAATTTTTTGTATTTTTGGTAGAGACAGGGTTTCGTCATGTTGCCCAACCTTGTCTCAATCTCCTGGGCTCAAGCAATCTGCCCACCGTGGCTTTCCAAAGTGCTGGGATTACAGGCATGAGCCACCAAGCCCAGCCTAATTTAATTTTTTGAGACAGGATCTTGCTGTTGCTCAGGCTGAAGTATAGTGATGTGATCATCGCTCACTGCATCCTTGAACCCCTGGGCTCACGAAATCCTCCCCCCTCAGCCTCCTGAGTAGAATAGTAGGCAGGTCACCATTCTTGGATGATTTATTTTTATTTTTCTAGAGCCAGTGCCTTACTATACTGCCTGGGCTGGTCTTGAGCTCATGTCCCCAAGCGATCCTCCCGCCTCAGCCTCCCAAAGCACTGGGATTACAGGCATGAGCCACCAATGCCTGGCCTATAACCCCTTGTTACATGGAAATGGAAGTGTGGAGTTAAGGAACTTGTCTAAGGCTTACAGAGCCAGGAAGTGGAGAAGTGGAGGGGCTAAGACTTGTATCCAGGCCCACAGCCATTGCTATGCTATCTTTTTTTTTTTTTTTTTTTGAGATGGAGTCTCATATTGCAGTGGTACTATCTTGGCTCACTGCAAGCTCCGCCTCCCAGGTTTAGACCATTCTCCTGCCTCAGCCTCCCGAGTAGCTGGGATTACAGGCATGCACCACCATGCCCAGCTATTTTTGTATTTTTAGTAGAGACAGGGTTTCTCCATGTTGGCCAGGCTGGTCTCGAACTCCCAACCTCAGGTGATCCACCTGCCTCGGTGTCCCAAAATGCTGGGATTACAGGCGTGAGTCACCACGCCCGGCCCGAAAGATTTTTTTTTACAGACAGGGTCTCACTCTGTCGCCCAGACTGGAGTACAGTGTCACAGACACAGCTCACTCAGCCTTGAATGACTGGGCTCAAGCTATCCTCCCACCACGGCCTCCTAAGTAGCCGTGACTATAAGTGTGAGCCACTGCACCTGGCTTCGAAATGCAATTTTTTTTTTTTTTGAGACGTTGTTTCGCTTTTGTTGCCCAGGCTGGAGTGCAATGGTGCAATCTTAGCTCCCTGCAACCTCCCCTTCCCGGGTTCAGGTGATTCTCCTGCCTCAGCCTCCCAAGTAGCTGGGATTACAGGCGTGCGCCACCACGCCCAGCTAATTTTGTATTTTTAGTGGAGATGGGGTTTCACCATGTTGGTCAGGCTGGTGTCTTAACTCCTGAACTCAAGTGACCCACCCGCCTTGGCCTCCAAAAGTGTTGGGATTACATGTGTGAGCCACTGCACCCGGCCCCACTTTAAAACCCTTTTTAAAAAATTATTTCTTGGCCTGGAGCAGTGGCTCATGCCTGTAATCCCAGCACTTTGAGAGGCCGAGGCAGGTGGATCACCTGAGGTCAGGAGTTCGAGACCAGCCTGACCAACATGGAGAAACCCCGTCTCTACTAAAAATACAAAAAAAGTAGCTGGGCGTGGTGGCACATGCCTATAATCCCAGCTACTAGGGAGGCTGTGGCAGGAGAATTGCTTGAACCTGGGAGTCAGAGGTTGTGGTGAGCCGAGATAGTGCCATTGCACTCCAGCCTGGGCAACAAGAGTGAAACTCTGCCTTAAAAAAAAAAAAAAAATTATTTCTTCATTCAGGCCAGGCATGGTGGCTTACTCTTGTAATCCCACCACTTTGGGAGGCTAAGGCAGGCGGATCACTTGAGGTCAGGAGTTTTGAGACCAACCTGGCCAACATGGTGAAAATACAAAAATTAGACAGGCGTGGTGGTGCACACCTGTAGTCCCAGCTACTTGGGAGGCCGAACCAGAATTGCTTGAAACTGGGAGGTGGAGGCTGCAGTGAGCCATGCCACTGCACTCCAGCCTGGACGAGAGAGTGAGATCCTGTCCCCCAAAAAAAAAAAAAAAAAAAAAAATCAGCTGGGCGCGGTGGCTCACACCTATAATCTCAGCACTTTGGGAGGCCGAGGCAGTCAGGTCACAAGGTCAGGAGCTTGAGACCAGCCTGGTCAATATGGTGAAACCCTGTCTCTACTAAAAAATATAAAAATGAGTCAGGCGTAGTGGCACGTGCCTGTAGTCCCAGCTACTCGGGAGGCTGAGGCAGGAGAATTGCTTGAACCTGGGAGGTGGAGGTTGCAATGAGCCAAGATCATGCCACTGCACTCCAGCCTGGGTGGCAGAGTGAGACTCCTGTCTCAAAAAACAAAAAAAAAAAATCATTTCTTCATTCATTAAAGATTTCATGAGTATATAAAGTATGCTAGGCCTTGATCCAGACCCTGGAGATTCATCAAGGAATGAAAAATAAAGGGGAGATAATCAATGAACAAAGTTCAGATATATGATAGTGTGTGAAGTATTAAGGATACTCAGAAAGAACACTCAAGAATCAGCTGTGGGGACTGTGCCCCCTGCCCCATATTACTGATGAAGCCACAAAGAAGTAGAAGTGACTTCAATTCCCAAAGCCCAATGCAGGTATCTCCTGTCGCATACTTAGCCTAAGGCCAACATTGGCGCAGTGCAGTGGCTCATGCCTGTAATCCCAGCACTTTGGGAGGCTGAGACAGGAGGATTGCTAAAGCCTAAAAATTTGAGACCAGCCTGGGTAACACAGCGAGACCCTCATAGCTACAAAAAGAAAAAAAAAGAAAAACTAGCTGGGCATGGTGGTACACACCTATAGTCCCAGCCACTCAGGAGGTTGAGGTGGGAGGACCACTTGAACCCAGGCGGTAGAGGCTGCAGTGAGCCATGATCATGCCGCTGCACTCCAGAGCAAGACCCTGTTTAGAAAAAAAAAGACCAAAATTATCAACTTTTCTGTGGGTCGAATATCTCAGGCTCAAAGTCTGCTATAAGCCTGCAATCAGCCTGTCAGCCAGGGGTACAGTTTCATCTGAAGGCTGAACTGTGGGAGGACTGCTTCCAAGCCCATTCAGGCAGCTGTTGTAGAGATTCAGTTGTTTGTCGGAACTGGACTGAGGGCCTCTGTCCTCAGTTTTCTTGACACATGGACCTCTACAGACAGCTCACAACATAGCAGCTGGATATATCCCCACTTTGTACTCTCCCTCCATGTTGCAGCCACAGGAACAGGGTCACTGAGAAGCACAAATTTTTTTTAATTTTTTTAGACTTTTGAGACAGAATCTCACTCTGTCACCCAGGCTGGAGTGCAGTGGTGCAATCTTGGCTTAGTGCAACCTCCGCCTTCCAGGTTCAAGCAGTTCTTCTGCTTCAGCCTCCACGTAGCTGAGACTACAGGCACGTGCCACCATGCCCAGCTAATTTTTGTATATTTAGTAGAGACGGGGTTTCACCATATTGGCCACACTGGTCTCGATCTCCTGACCTCAAGGGATCCACCCACCTCAGCCTCCCAAAGTGCTGGGATTACAGAGGTGAGGCACCGCGCCCGGCCTCTTTTTTTTCATCTCTCACCTCCAAAGTGTGCTTCACAGATCCACAGGCTAAGCATCCTTCTCCAGAGGGTCTACCTTGCTCCCAGGGACCCTCACCTCTAGACTGGCAAGTCCAAGCGTTTTTTAGAAGAGAATGGACACACACAGGCTTGGGGCCAGGGAGGAGTTTGTCAGGGATGAAGACTAGGTCTGTGCCATGTCTACAAACCCAACACTAAGCACCATGAACTCAGCTCAAATGCACCTTCTCAGAGGGGTTTTCTGGACCACTCATTACTGTTCCCAGCCCCACCACTCCCTTCACATCAGGACTTTTTTTTTTTTTTTTTGGACAGATTCTTGGTCTGTCACCCAGGCTGGTGTGCAGTGGTGAGATCTCAGCTCACTGCAGCCTCCATCTCCCAGGTTCAAGCAATTCTCCTGCCTTATCCTCCCGAGTAGCTGGGATTACAAGCACACACCACCACGTCTAACTAAATTTGTTGTTGTTGTTGTATTTTTAGTAGAGATAGGGTTTTAGTAGAGATAGGGTTTCAGCATGTTGGCCAGGTTTCAGCATGTTGGCTCGAACTCCTGATCTCGTGTTCCACCTACCTCGGCCTCCCAAAGTGCTGGGATTACAGGCGTGAGCCACTGCGCCCGGCCCAGCCGAGGTTGTTTTTTGTTTTGAGATGGGGTCTCACTCTGTCACCCAGGCTGGAGTACAGTGGTGCCATCATAGCTCACTGCAGCCCTGAACTGGGCTCCAGTGAACCTCCTGGTTCAGGCTCCCAAGTAGCTTAAGAGTATAGGCATGTGCCACCACGCATAGCTAATTTTTAATTTTTTTTTTTGTAGAGATGAAGTCTCACTTTGTTGCCCAGGTTGCCTCAAGCGATCATCCCACCTCGGCCTCTCAGTGTGCTGGCCCCACCACATCAGTTTTGTTTTCATCACAACACAATATTGGAAATTGTCCATTTTATTAATCACTGCATACCTTATCCCTACAAAAGTATGTAGCACACAATAGGTACTCAGCAAATATTTGCTGAACTTATTGAGTGTTTGCTAAGTGCCTGAAAGGGAGAGAGTGTGTTGGGGGATGGGTAATAACTACAAACATCATCATGGTATTAATATAGAGGGACTACTCTTTACATAGGAAGTAAACAAAACTCAGACAGGGGACATCAACTACCTATAGGCTAACAGCTAAGAAGTCCCCAGAAAGCAGAAACCAGGACCGGCTGACCATGGAATCCACATACTTAATAGCCAGTAGGCCGTGG